GAGGCAGATTTTTAAGTTGAATATTTTTAAGAGAGAGCTAGATAGATTCTTTGTCAGCAAAGAGTGACAGATTAGCAGGACAACAGTGTGGAATTATCCAATCCGCCCTGATCCTATTGAATGACATAGCAGGCTCAACAGGCCGAGTGGCCTTTTTCTAATTTGTGTGTTCATGTGTGGAATGACAAAAAGAAGCTTGGCTCACTTTCCAGAGCCTACAGCCTACAGCACATGAACTGCTCCTAATTGTGGGACAACTTCATAGCCTGACATAAAGGGCCAGTGACTGCAGCTGTGGGAAATAGAAACATGGTCCACATGACAGCAGAGGCCAAACTGAGCAGTTATGCAGTATCAAGGAGCTTTACCTGTGCTGTGCCTGTCCTGGGAGTATTTGATGGGGGCAGTGTAGAGGAAGCTTTACTCTGTTTCTAACCCCGTGCTGCCCCGGTCCTGGAGTGTTTGATGGGGAAATTGATAGCAATGTGTGTTTTGTCTTTCAGCACAAATATCCTGACTTTCCATGAGCAGGAATGTCAGCTGAAGAATGATTAAAAAAAAAAGTCCCTGCTTGGCCTGCTGTGTTCATCCAGCCCTGCACCTTGTTGTCTCGGATTCTCCAGCATCTGCAGTTCCTACTATCCCAGGAAAATTGTTGCTTTGCATGAAGCGCCAACTTGCAGTGGTAGTGTTCCTTCCTCTGATCCAGAAGTCCCAGAATCAAGCCCCGCCTGCTGCAGTAATGTGTGATAATATCCCTGGACAGATTGATTAGAAAACAAATCCAGGTGAAGAAATCCCACTGATGTAAACTGCAGCATCTGGAGCCCTCGTCTCCCGGCGATGGATAAATAAAATGTGGGTGCAATTCATAAATTGGCCATCGGGTGGAACCATTCTCTTTACCATCAGCAATAGAACTGGAGGGAAACCAAAATGCTGCAAATGTGTCGGGGATGGGGGTGTATGTCACCAACTGTAGTCCACCACCAACCCCAGAGTGCACTCTATATGGTAACTGTAGCCCCCACCCCAACAGTTTGTCCACTGTTCTCCCTCCCTCCCCCATCCTGATTGCACTGAACTGTAGCCCCCTCCACCCCCATGAGGACATTGTAACCACCCCCAGCCTGATAGATGTGGAACACTGTGGCCTCCCCACCACCGCCTGGCCAGCTCACAGTAACTGCACAGTGCACCCTGCTCAGCAGCATGACCCTTACCGACTCTGACAGAAATTGTCACTCCACCACTCCCCACATCCTGTGATGCAGCTTCCTCAGAGACAGCCATGTCCAACCCCTGTCCCCAACCCCAACCCCAACCCTAACCCTAACCCCAACCTCAACCCTAACCCGAACACCAACCCTAACCCTAACCCTAACCCTAAACCGAACCCCAACCCTAACCCTAAACCTAACCTGAACCCCAACCCTAACCCTAAACCTAACCTTAACCCTAACCCAAAACCCAACCCCAACCCTAACCCTAAATCCTAACCCTCAGAGACAGACCCGTCCAAACTCTGTCTCCTAACACTAACCCTAACCTTAAAACTAACCCTAACCCTAACCTCAACCCTAATCCTAACCTCTGTCCCCTAACTCTAACTCTATATGTCCCTATCAGACATCTGCACCCCCACTCTCTCCCCTCCCCCAGATCTTTTCCCAAAATCATTTTCTCTCTAATATCTTCATGTTTGTATCTAAAAATACCCCTTTCCACTAATTATTTTCCTCACGTTTTGTGATCAAAGGTGTCTGAGATGTATGTAACTGTTTTAGAAATTGAATTTTAAATTTGGGCCTATGTTTAGTTACTTTTCTGAAGGGTTTAATAACATAACTGTATGGGACTGTCCTTCCGAAACAGTAGCTTAATGTTGTATATGGCTAGAGAACAGTGACCGCAGGAGATGTAAATGGGAGAGATAGTAGGAACTGCAGATGCTGGAGAATCCGAGACAACAAGGTGCAGGGCTGGATGAACACAGCAGGCCAAGCAGCATCATAGGAGCAGATGTAAATGGGAGATTGTTTTTGTTGTAATAGCCCAGAGTCAGATACGTTGCTGTGGGCCTGGAGTCACATGTAGGCCAGGCTGGGGAAGAATGACAGATTTCCTTCTCTAAAGGACAGAAGTGAACCAGATGGGTTTTTACAGCAATCGACATCATCACTATTAGGCTGGCTTTTTATTTTATAGTTTTGAACCCATTGCCTGGAACATTAGCCTGTGACTCTGGTTTTCAACAGGAAGTATAAACATTGTTGATCAATTGATTGATTTGTCACATGTACCTAGATATAGTGAAAAGCTTTGTTTGCAAACAGTACAGATAGATCATAGGGTGAAAAAAACTTGGACAGAGTGAGGCAAACAGGTTACACTCCATAGGGCATACACGATGCAAAATCAACAGTAACAAGATCGAAATTATTTTTTGGTTTAGGATATTCTAGATTTAAATTTAATTTAGAAAAAACAGAGATTAAAAGTTTTTGGGCAGTTTGAAGTGCACCTGCCTGGAGTCAGAGCAAATAATGGGTTTTCTCCTAAAAATGGAGTACAGATTTGTTTAGAGAAGGCACAGTTACCTTGATGAAGAAATATAATTTGTGTAACTTCCAGACCAGGAGTGTTTGATTGGAAATGGGTAGGTTATTACACATCTTAGAAAGTATAAGCTCTGTTTTCAGTTTATCTATGCAAGACTTTGCAGCTCACAGGAACGAACTACGGAGAATCAGTTACATCAAAATTTAAAAATTGATATAGAAGGGTAATTCCTTTGCTTTTGAATTGCTGTATATGATAATGTTGGGGAATAGATATAAACTTTGTTTTGCTGGATGTTTTGAGATTATTCTGACTGCATTCTAAATCTAGATAACTTTTGTCTGTTTTTGTCTTTTATGTGATAAGCTTCTAGTCAATGTTAAAGAAATTCAGCAGCCTCATGTGACTGTTCCAGAGAATGACCAGTGTAACTAAAACAAAACTGATCAGATCAGATTTCATTCTGGGATCTAACATTTCCGGTGGTAACATCAACGGGGATCAGAACACTTATTGTTTGCTCATCAAATGTTCAGAACCTTGCCTTTTATGCCTGTAGGATGAGGTCCATTCACTTATTTTATCAGACAGAGTCCAGTGGTCAGTCACTGACGTAAAATCAAAACAGGGGAACCGTTATTTGGAAAGCAAAAGTACTCTTGGAAGATGTGTGATCATCTGGCGTATTTTCAACAATCAGTTTCTAAACTATGATCTTTGATCAAATGGTTTTCTGATCAACCTGTCCTCTTTCAGTCCCTGACATCTGGTTGTCTCTAGCAGGTTATCAAAAGCTGAAACCTCTGAGTTCCTGTCTTTCTCACAGTTCTGATGACAGCTTCTTTCTGAAACTGATTAAAAGCAGTCTTTATATTCCCTTCTCAAACATCAGACAAACCGAGCGACAAAGAGCATTATTATGACAAGAGATTTCCCAAAGAGAGGCTGGGTGTGATGAATTTCAGACCCACACACAGGGGCAAAATCAGTGAAACACCTGCTCACTCAGGCCCCATAGAACGTGCCAGTAAAGCCACTCCTAGTTTGTCAGCCACCTCCTTGACCAGCCATCAGCACAGTGAGACACTTGCAAATGATAGTTTCAATGTGATGCTGATCTCAAAACAAGGTTCAATCTCCACACACTTCACCAAACTCACTCATCTCACCGGGAGTGGCCCTCATGGTAGTAAATTCTACCTTCACTCACAGATGGTGAGGTATTAGAGGGAGGATGGGACAATGGACACTGGGAAAGGGACCCCAGCTCCACACAGTGACAAGGGTTTGGTTATCAATGCTGGCCTTGCCAGTACCTTGTATATCTCAAAAATCCAACAGAACCAATGATGCTGCCAATCCACTGAGGTTTAAGAGAAACCTTCAGGCAACATGACACTCAATCTATGTTGCACTGGGGACAGAGGAACAGTCTCCCAAAAGGAAATTCAAATGAAAAGTCCCCAAGGCTGGAGTTCAAATTGAATGAATTAGCATTGGATTCTCCCACACCTCTTCACCTTTGAACATTAAATAAAGTTTTGTTGATCACAGACTTCCAACTGAGCCTTCATCTCCCAATAAGTTTCCCTCAAAGCCACTCATTAGCCTGACTGGGAAAGATATTGCCATTCCTCAGCGTCGCTGAGTCAAAATCCTGGAATTCCCTCCCTAAGAGCATTGTGGGTCAACCCACAGCATGTGGACACTGCTCGATGCCATGGAAAGGCGGCCAACATCATCAAAGATCCCTCCCACTCTGGTAATGCTCCCTGACAACTTCTTCCATCAGGCAGAAGATGCAGAAACTTGAACACACGCACCAACAGGTTCAAGAACTGCTTCTTCCCTGTCATTATCAGACTGTCGAACGGACCTCTCTAATTTCAAATAATGTTAATCTTGCTTTGTGCATCTCCTGTGCAGTTGTAACCTTGTGTGTCTTGCTCTGTCTAAGCACCCTATGATCTGCCTGCACTGCTCACAAAACAAAGCTTTCCACTGTACTTAGGTACATGTGACACAGTAAATCAAATCAAAATCAAAACAGACCTGCAGCAGTTCAAGAATACAGTTCACCATCACCTTCCCAAGGGCAACCAGGGATGGGCAATATATGCTGGCCCAGCCAGCGACGCTCGCATCCCACAATTGAATTAAAACAAAACCTAAATGTGCCTTTCTCCCATTTTAACAGAAGGTGCAGTCAGGTCGTGTGCACAGGAGGGGAACAAATCAGTCACTGAGGCAGTTTGAACTGGATGAGCAAGGTGAGGAGCTTGTGTTTCTGAAGCCTTTTTCATATCTTCAGGATGATCTGAAGGATTTGACAGTTAGTGAGCTTCTTTGAAATGTAGTCACTGTTATAATACAGGAACCATGTGCTTAGCAAGCTCCCAGGCCGAGAATAATTCACTGTGATGCAAAGTACGTTTGGAGACTAAATGAGATTTATTGTTTTGACACTAATATCTAATATTCTGCACAATACTGTACCAGAAAATGCTGTACCTTACAGTCACTGTGTAGTTACATATACACAAATACTCCATACAATTAATTATTACAGCCTTAGTTATGCAGTGGTCTGAACACATCAACATCATTGGGTAGGAACTCCCCCAGCCATTAGTGAGCCAGATTCCTGATACTGAATGATAGGGAGTCACGAGAAACTTGACCAGACACTGCTCCCACTTCTCCCTGAAGCTACTGGCTTTGTGACAATGACCAATCTGGGATCTAGCCCAAGGCTGTGTCTCGTGTGCGTGGCTACACGCTGTTCCACTGTAGGAAGCATCACATTTCACCTCCACACTGTCCACTAGGAGTCAGTGTAGAGTGATCAGTGCTGGGTTCAGCCTGATTTGTATAGGAAATGAAGCTTAACTGCATGGTGCTTTGATCCATAGGGCCAACCTAATCAGGGATCAAATCTGGGAGGTTTCCGAGTTTGAAGGGATCAGAACCTGTCGATGGATACGTCTGTACCAATTGGGAACGGGGCATACTGTATCTAACAGGGGCTTACCCTGCCAGGATTGAGGGTCACACCCCCCCACTGTTGATCTAGGTAGCTAATGACCAAGCCCACAGTTGATACTAAGTTGGCCTGAGGGACGGATGGAGGAGCTGGGAGAGGGTGGCTGGTGTTAATGTCTAACAGGAGAAATGTCTATTGTCCTCACACTCACTCTACCCGCCTCACCCTCATTGTCAGACCAGGAGTGGGTCATCCAAAGGACAGGGATTTGAAATGAGAGTTTTCTCACGTCACTTTGCAATATTGAATCTTTTAACTCCCCGGTTTGTGAAGGTGTGAGCCATCCCTCAGCACCAACACTCCAAAACCAATTCCATTCCAGGCTGTTCGAGCCTCTCTGAGCTATGACCCTTGTGGCCAAAGATCGATAACAATGGAACAAAAACAGAAATTGCTGGAAAAGCTCAGCAAGTCTGGCAGCATCTATGGAGAAAAATCAGCGTTAACATTCTCGGTCCAGTGACCCTTCCTCAGAACTGAAACGTTAACTCTGGTTTCTCTTCACAGATGCTGCCAGACCTGATGAGGTTTTCCAGCGATTTCTGTTTTTGGTCCTAATTCACAGCATCTACAGTTTTGTTTTGGTTTTTGTCAATAACAATGGATTTGATCAGTTCCCCTGTGAGCCGTGAATTGTCTGTGAGCGCCTGACTCCACCTGCTGACTACCCCACCCCGCACCAATAATTACCCTCAGTGTCACCCCCTCTAATCCCAGTCCTGCCCTTCAGCCTCTACCCCAGGATCAAGTGGGAATCAGCAGCCCACAAGATTTAGAATAGGGCTATAAATACTCTCACTGCAGAGGGAGTTGGGGGGCTGGTTTAGAGCAGTGCAGGTATCAGAGGCAGTTCAGAGGAGAGGGTAGCTGGAGCTGGTCAAGGCAGTTGGGGGTATTTTTAGCAGACCAGAGAATGGGGTATCTATAGAAGGTGAGAAGAGGGTTAGAGGGGATGTGATGGGCCATTTGAGGGTAAGGGGGAGTTTGTGATGATCCATCGTTGTCCCCACACATACGGAGGATATTTTCAGCTGTCTCAGTATTCAGTTTCTTTCAATGAAAGCTGTCATTTTTGCAGCTCAGTTATTGGGCACTGGTGAGGCCAGATTCTGAAACCAAGCAGCTACAACGAATTCTCCCACTGGGTAAGTAAAAGGATTGTTTTATTTATTGTAACATTTCATTGAGTGGGTTGAGTTGTGGGGGGGAGCCAATGATTGATTAAGTTCCTTTCAGACATTTGTTAAACACCTTGGAATATTCCCGGAAGTTTCTCACTGTTCTCCACAACGAACATTGTGCATTGTGGGGCAGGTGGGCAGGGCAGGGGTTAGGTTCCAGGAGGTTCGGTAAGTGCTTCTTATTCCTATCTGTGGACGGAGCGAGGTCCCAGTTTCTGGAAGGAGCTGCCTGCTTCCTCGGGTTTCTCACTTTGGGCAGCAGCTGCAGGGAAATCTCCGACAGTTGTCAGGGGATGGAGTCCCACATGTTCCCTGCTCCTTTCATGGAACAGGCACCTGGATAGAGCATGTTCCAATGCCTTCCTACCATGGGACAGTCCCAGTCCTGCACTTACTCAGGAGAATATCGCTGCATTTCCACTGGGACAGTTGGCTGGGAGAGAGTACTCATTTACTGAGGAATAAGAGCGGCTTAAGGCTTGCTTCTCTCTCCTAACCCAGAAGCAGTCAGCTCAATCGCAATTCCTGAGATCAGACACCTCAGCACAGAGGGAAAGAGGCTAACACTGGGCCATGCCATGAATCTCCCTGTCATTCTGACAGTTTTAACAATTCTCCACACTCAGACTTAAAAGATATCATCATTCACTCTCTCAGACTTTAGTCAAACACTGAGCACAAAAATATTGGCAACAGGCTGGAACATTTCATCGACAAAATAAAAGGAATTACTAAGAATCAAAATTAATTTAAACATTTCTAAGATCACAAATAAATGAATGAAAGATTTTGGGAATAAAAAGCCAGTTTGTTGATTGTGCTGTGGTCCTTTTACAGTACAGCATCCGAGGGTGTTCAAGAACATCTCCCTTAAAAATAGTTTTTTTCAGCTAACCTACAAAACATTTCCAGTTTTCAATACCATGAATCTTTCAAAATATAATTCACCATTTACAATGAACTGTTCACAATAAAAGTCCATTAAAAAAAACTTAAAAATTAATTGCAGCAATTGGAACTTCGTTGTGCTAAACTCTGAAACTGCTAACAAGGCTTGGCTCCCAATACACATGAAAGGGTGAGCCTTGTTATTTGTTTCATTCTATAAATGTACTCAGCCTTCAAAAAAATAACATTAAACGCTAAGGAGGACACAGCTAGTCCTGGATTCCAATTTCTCTTCTTTTAAGAACTGGTGGTTTCACACATTCCATGTCGAGGGATGTGACTTTTTGGTGGTGAGTTTTTGAGCCAAACCAATGGCCCCAAAATACCCGTGTCACCGTAGCAGTCATGAAGATTTAACCAAAACAATAAAACTGTTGCTCTTCATGGCAACAAACGATTTTGTTGCTGTTTTGCTTTTCCTTCAATAACCAAACACGATGGCACAGGATGAGTGTTGAATCCTGTAGGTACATGGGCAAAAGTCTGGGAAGTTATGGATTTCAGAACATTGGAGAGACCGATGGAGCACACACCAACTCAAAGATTTATTTGGTTTGAAGGACTGAATGATGTCTGTGTTAGGTTTGTTCCTAGTTTCACTGTGAAGACAGAAATATTATGTTGAAGCAAAAGTTGGCCTTTGCTGGTTTAATGCATCGTGTGAAATGGAAGGAAGATCTAGAGTTCACGACAAGTCAGAACGGATTGGCATTCTGGATGGAGAACGCTGCCAAACTCCAATCACAAAGCCAGCTTCTCCAGCTCAACGTTGATTGAAGATGCCAGTTTGGTCCCCCTTTTCCCTGTTCACAAACAAACAAACAGCAACTCTTTCAATCATCCATGTGTCTATGCGGAGGCTCTCACACAGTGCAGGACTTGTCTGTCGGTTGCTGTGTGGTCGGTGAGCCGAGGCTGGGGGTGCTTGGGTTGGTTTTTGGAAAGACGACAGGTTTGGGCCTCAGTGCGGGAGGCTTCACCTGGGCTGCTATTTTCACAGACTTCACTGGCCTGAAGGTGCATGGCATATCCCCGGAGGAACTGGCACTCCTCTGCAGAGAAGACTCCGAGTCCTTCAGGATGCGGGAATGCAGGGGGCTGGAAGGTTCAGATGTAGGAGCCACTGATGGAGACGTCTTCATGGGTTCCAGGGTGTCTAGGACCACGTCAGGGGCATGTTTCACTGTGCTCTGACGCTCCAGTTCCCGGAGCTCATTAAGGGCTGAATTCATTGTGGCCTCAATATCCTACAAAACAAAATTAGCCAAACTATTAGGAAGGACCAAACCTGAAGCTGAGGGATTCACTGAGGCAGTCAGACAGACATAAAATCAAACATAAATACCAAGTTAAAAACTGAAAAAAACTGCAGATGCTGTAAATCAGAAACAAAACTAGAAATTACTGGCGAAGCTCAGCAGGCCTGGCAGCATCTGGGAGAGAAATCAGAGTTAACATTTCAGGTCGAGTGACCCTTCCTCAAACCAAAGGCCTGTTACAGAGCAGCCTGTACATTTGACCTGACTCAGGCAAGCACTCACCAATTCTGTAATGCCTGATCTCAAACACAAGCCAGATATTTCTGTGTGTGAGCAGCTCTGATCCAACTTGACTTTTCATTTCAATTGTTCATTTCACATTCTATGATCCAACTTTATTTTAAAGCAACATTTAGGATTTATTTGATTTACCTCCTTTAATAGCTTGGGCACCAACCAACTACACATCCAACAGATTAACTGGCTAAATAAAAACCGAAAGAACTGCAGGTGCTGGAAATCAGAAACAAAAATAGAAATTGCTGGAAATAGCAGGTCTGGCAGTAGCTTCTTAGGAAGGGTCACCGGATCTGAAAAGTTAACTCTGATTTCTCTCCACAGATGCTGCCAGACCTGCTGAGATTAACTGGCCATGTGTTTAATTTAAATGGGAACTTGTACAAAATAACGTGGTAACAGTGACTACACTGAGAATAAAACAAAAACAGAAACTACTGGAAAAATTCAACAGGTCTGGCAGCATCTGTGCAGAGAAAGTGAACCTTCTTCATAACACCAAGAATAAAACTTGTTGGAATGTGCTAAAGATATGAAGAACACTTTATAAATTAGTTTGTATCGTCATACATCTGTGGTAAGTGTTCCACATCTGCCACCATATACTTGGGCTGGCTATATGTAACACACTTTGATCCATGGATTCTATTTCTATATAATCTCTGGTGATTTATTCATTGCTGAACTAATACACATGGGACAACACGGTGGCTCAGTGGTTAGCACTGCTGCCTCACAGTGCCAAGTACCTGGGTTCAATTCCACCCTCGGGTAACTGTCTGTGTGGAGTTTGCACATTCTCCCCGTGTCTGCGTGGGTTTCCTCCGGGTGCTCCAGTTTCCTTCCACAGTCCAAAGATGTGCAGGTTAGGTGGATTGGCCATGCTAAATTGTCCGTAATATTCAGGGATGTGCAGATTAGATGGGTTTATAGGGGATGGGTCTGGGTGGGATGCTCTGAGGATCGGTGTGTTCTTGTTGGGCCGAAGGGCCTGTTTCCACACTGTAGGAATTCTATTAAAAAAATACCTCCAGATACAGCCTTAACTGAGAGCACTACCACGCAGAATCAGTGATGCTTCTGGTCATGTGATGCCATCAAGTACCTGGCTCACCTGCATGAAGTGCTCCTTAAAGGGACGTCACTCTTGAAGCAACAATATCATGTCATTCTAATTTAATTTTCCCCACCCATCCTTCCTAAGGATATTTTCACCATCAAGACTGCAGTACTTTAAACCTTAATCCTTTAGAAAGGCCTGACTTCCGGGGGAATAAGGAATGGGAAGAAAGCTGTTCACCACCCTCGAACTAGGAAGGAGATCCAGTGTGATCACTAGAAATCAGGTAGGTCAATCAGTGACTATTCCAACAGATCACAAGCTCCTGTGAATTATAAATGGTCAGATTAAAGCCAGTGAGTGGAATAACCGGCGTAAGGCAAGGTCATCAGATTTTTATTGTCAAATGATTATGTTGTCATTCCCAACACTTGGAATCAACTTATGGATCATGTTGGTATTCTGCATTCATGTATTCCAGTTATACACATGACAGTGCAGTATATACTCATGTCCTGGCAGTGTTTACACAGCCAGTTATTCACCATGCTACGCATCCCAGATATACACAGGACTGGGCAGTGCGTTTACAAAAAAAGAACTCAGGACGCTGGAAGTCAAAAACAAAAACAAATGTTGTTGGAGAAACTCAGCAAGTCTAGCAGCATCTTTGAAGAAAAAGCAGAGTTAATATTTTGGGTCCTGTTCTGAAGAAGGGTCATTGGTCCCAAAATGATAACTCTGCTTTCTCTCCACTGATGCTGCCAGACCTGCTCAGTTTCTCCAGCATTTTTTGTCAGTATTTACAAAGACCAGTTATGTACAAGATGGTACAGCGTTTACAATCCCAGATATACACAGGACAGTGCAGTGTTTACAATCCCAGCTATAGACAGCATCGTGCAGCATTTACAATCCCAGCTAAAAACAGGATGGTGCAGCATTTACAATCCCAGATATACACAGGACAGTGCAGCGTTTACAATGCCAGCTATACATAGGATGGTGCGGCATTTACAATCCCAGCTAAAAAACAGGACGGTGCAGCATTTACAATCTCAGCTATACACAGGACGGTGCAGCATTTACAATCCCAGCTATACACAGGATGGTGCGGCATTTA